GAATTTACTGTGTCTATCAGGCTGGCCTCACTCACACACACAGAGGTCAGATCCTCCTGCCTCTGCCTCCCAAGTGCTTGGATTAAAGGTGTGTGCCACCACATCCAGCAATATTCAATATTCTATTTTTTAAAAGGCAACCCTCACTCTGTAGCCCTGGCTGGACTGGAACTCCTTGTATAGGCCAGGCAAGCTTAAAACTTGTGGTGATTCTTCTGCCTCTGCTGGATTCCAGGTGCAAGTCACCATGATTGGCTCTTAAATTATTTATAGGTATGATCTCATTTGGGAAATCCTACCAATGACTGGAAAATTTGGACACTGCCAATACTGAGAAAATTGGGGCACAGTGAACTTTTTTGCATTTTAGTCCAAAGATGCAGTCAATACATTACCACCATGTGTAATGGAAGTTTCTACTAATCCTTCATCAGTCAGTAGGAATTCTATGTTACATTTGGTGGAGGTCTATCATTGTCACCCATATTAATTCAACTGGCTCTAGAGACCAGTTGATTTTATTGAGCCCCAGTCCCATGAGCTGAACTCTGGGCACTCTGATTGGGCCCTGCCACTTCCGTAGCCCCTTCTGTCTGCCTTTGTGCAACAAGGTCCATTTTCCCTGTAGACTAAAGTTGCCTGAAGGCTCATCCTGAACCTTTACCCTTCTACAACAGTGTATCTGTAAGATAGACTCCAGGAGTATTTAGGAAAGGACTGAGTCAGATAATTTTAGCCAAATAGTAGTTTTACTTGCATTTCAAAACAAAACAAAATCACCCTCTTTCCAGATCCAGGAAGATAATTCCCTTGGTTTTTTAATTGTGATTTTGCTATTAAATTACTATCAGTAATCAGTACTGGAGAAATGAAATGTTAACATCCTACTCGTGGGGGCCCTCATAGGCAATTCTTACCGTTAAAAAAGAAATTCGCCATCAAAGTAAGCCAACTTTCTAAGCACCCAGAACTCTCCTCAAGACAGGGATGGTTATCTCCGCTGGAATAAGGTAAGGAAGTAAGAGAAAGAGATCACCCAGTAGAATGGGATGGTGATTAAGGCCTCGAGAGCTGAGCACAGATAAATCTGTTTGTAATACTGTAAACATTCTGGCAAAGCCAAGTGATTGGAGAGACAGATAAATCTGCTTGTAATATTGTAAGCATTCGAGGGCCAAGTGACTGAAGAGACGTAGTTGGTCCAGGTCCCACTTCTCCACTGCAGTGACCTCAGAGATATACCCGCTCCTCCAAACCCAGCCCAAAATATTTGTTCTAGATGGCTGGTGGTGCCCCTCGATAGCAGAGCACACGTTTAGCGTGTTCAATCACCAGCACCAAAAAAGAAAGAGAGAGAAAGAAAAGAGAAAATAAAAGGCCATTTGACTCTTAGTTCAGCAATATTAGAAGACAGTGCTCTTAAACAGGGTCCAGTCTGAGTAGCCCCAATATTTATACCCACTGGTCTGTGTCTTTGGCCTGGTGAACATCTAACGGTTCGTCTCCCCTCTGTCAGGAACAGCCTCCCCTCCTGTATCCCCGTTTCCCAGATGAAACCTCTTTACCTTCCTCTTCACCCTTCCTATCATTTTCAGATCCACTTTGTTTTATCAGAGTGTCTGAACTTGAACTTGGTACTTTGAACAGTGTAAAAGTTAGTAAATATAGCTGGGCACGGTAGCACGTCTTTGCTCCCAGCACTCGGGAGGTAGAGGCAGGTAGATCTCTGTGAGTTCAAGGCCAGCCTGGTCTGCACAGTGAGTTCCAGGCCAGCTGGGGCTACAGGGAGATGCTGTCTCAAAAAGACGAAAAAAAAAAAAGAAAGAAAGAAAAAAAGAAAAGAAAGCAAAAAAAAAAGAAAGTAAATATTATTACTTCTAAGATTACCTGAGGGTTTCCACCAGTCATCTGCCTTGGTTAACAAGTGACAGGGCTAATTACAGCTTTGAGTTACAGTGTTACTGTTGGTAGGTTTTATTTTTGTTTTGTTAGACAAGTTCTCGCTCTGGCAATCCTCCTGCCTCAGCTTCCTGAATGCTAGAATTCAGATGTGAGCCACCATACCCAGCTGTACTACTAATAATTTTTCATTTCCTTCCAGGGTATACATCAATATTTTGGGAGGCCAATATTCAGATCAAGCTGGCAATAGAATAAGAGCTTGGAATTGGTCTAGTTCCATGCCCTCCTCACCCTTTGTTTCATTCAAACCTGTATTTCTGGCTTTGAACCGTTACATTGGAATTCGCATCTTAGAACAAGACAATGTTTCCATTACTTTTCTAGCAATGGGCCAACAGGCAAGAATCAGCATTGGAACCAAAGTAATGGTAAGTACATTAAAAGATAGTTTGGAGCATTTAGATAATAAAAATAAAATAATTTTGTTAGTTATTACTGATATATTTGTATATAATCTGTTCACTAAGACTGTCTGGAATTCCACGAAAAGCCAAATTCCTTACAGTTCAGACTTGTAAATCCAAGCAGCACTTACCGAGGGTTCTCTACATGACTGAATCAAGCTGCTTGAAGGTTTTGTTTTAAGATTTGTTTTGTGGGGTTTCTATTTCCTTCCTGCTATGGCAGAAAGCCTCAGGCTGGGCCAGGAGACAAGGATTCTAATCGTGTTAAGAACAAATATAAGCCCTGGCTCCTTAGAGACACTTCCTAGACCTTCTAGACCTTCACCCAGTCATTGTCTATGTTCTGAGTTTCCCACAGACTTGTCCCTGTCCTGCACTGGCTGAGCCAGGCTTCTTTTCCCACTGACAAGGAACTCCTGAAGGATGGCACCTACCCCAGTTTCCTTTATCCTAGTGTCTTTCCCTGGCTCAGTCAAAACATACTTTCAATGATAGTCATAATGTGATGGTTAAGAATATGAATTTCAAGTTACAGTCTAAGGTTTCAAACCTCAGCTCTGCCACTTGATTATGTAAGTAAGTTCAAGCTTGTTTCTCATCCATAAAAAGAGGGTGATGATTCCTGCCTCACATATGATGTGAGGAGTCAGTGGAAATGTAAAATACTAAGAATGGTACCTGACATTGAATGTATGGTGTTTCCATACAGATAGTAGATATTCATAGTGGTTGATGTGTCTATATGCAAAATGACATGCAGTGTGACTTTGAACAAGTCTCTTAAGTTCTGAGAACCTTCATTCAATCTATTTATAAAGGAAGAGGTTGTTGCAAATTTTCAAAGTGTCTTCCACTTCTAAAACATGATGTAATTTATATGGAAATATCTCAATATTCAGCACAGGCAGAATATCATTTATTTATCTCTTTATTCATTTATGATGTATATGACTGTTTTGCCTGCATGTATGTAAGTGCTTGCAATGTACACAGAGTCCAGAAGAGGACATCAGACCAAATCCCTAGAACTGGAGTTACTGATGGTTGTTAGCCTCCATGTGGGTGCTGGGAATTGAACCTGGGTCTTCTGTAAGAGCAGTAGGTTTTTTTTTTTTTTTTTTTTTGGTCTTTTTGAGACAGGGTCTCCCTGTAGCCCCAGCTGTCCTGGATTCACTATGGAGACCAGGCTGGCCTCAAACTCACAGAGATCTGCCTGCCTCTGCCTCCCAAGTGCTGGGATTAAAGACATGTGCCACCACACCCAGCTCCATTTTTTTTTAAATTTCAGAATATTTTTATTATTCCACAGAAAGGCAATTTTTAACAGAAATAACTTGAAGCAGGTTACATAAAAATATATATACAATGAAGTTTAAGGGGGGAAAAGTAAGAATAAGCAATCAAAGACCAAAGGATTTGCCAACATGGAGTCAGCCTTGGTGGAGTAATGAAGGTTTCCAGTAGATCTGTTCTTTCTTTTTCTTTTTAACTAGTTTATTGGACTTGTTAACAGAACATAGGGTAGAAGAACAGTCAGTACTCTTAACTACTGAGCCATATATCCAGTCCCAATAGGCAGAGTATCTTTGACCATCAAACAAAAGGGAGACCTCAGACTCAACTAACACAAGTGTGGGCCTGTAGTATGTTCAGCATGATTCTAGCCACTTTTAGTGAGTCTGGCCATTGCTGTCTAGGATCAGCTCTAGACAAAGCTTCTTTCTCAGTTGAAAATGCACAATGCATCCAATAAATTACAATGCATGCAATAATGAGTAGCCTCCTTTTGGTATATTACTTCATGCAAGTACATTCTTACCTAACACATAGAAATGTTCTCTTCGGCACTCTCTCACTCACACTCTCTCCCGCATTGTCCCTCTCCTCCTCTGTTAGAAATGAATTTCCATATGGAAAAAATATTTTGATGCAAAAGGAAGAATATGATGTTAAAGATTTTTACTTTTCCCATTTTCCCCCAATCACCCTTTGGAGGGAGAGTAGAAACACAGAAAGATACTGTGTGTTTTGTGTTCCTGCATCTTTTGCAGGTAAGGGATCCATCTGCTTGCAGAAGGTAGAGCTTTCTGGCCTTTAGCCTGCACCACCAAGGCTAAATGCCCTTCTAGGCTGCCCTGAGGCTGCAGACTGTCAGGACAGATCCTTTCTGCAGCTGCAAGGAGACATCAGTCTTGATCATCAGACTGTAAGGAAGTAGAGAGAATGGAGGGCAAAGAGGTCAAACAGAGAGGTGATGGGAATGGCCTCCTGGAGGTAGAGCTAGTTAGGGAGAATCAAGGTAGTGTCAGCCACTCTGAAGGGCCCTCTCTAGGAAGATGCCCCCTCAGCACCTTCCCACTTTGCACTCAGCCTCCAGACCAGCACTCATTGCATCCCTCCCCACTTGCCAGGAAAGAGGAGGCAATTTTTTGCTCCCTTCAATAGAAGCTGGTTAAATTTCCTGAATAAATTGTTTGAAAGTATCTGAATTCCATTTTCTGTCTCAGGTCTCCACCACATTGTATCTCTTTTCTCATGAGATTAAAATGATTCCACTGCCCCTTCCCCAGATAATTAGTGCCCAGCCTTTCATCCTCCACTGCTCACTTCCACAACCTGGTTTCCATGCCTGGCCTCTGAGCTTCCCTTCTCTTTCTCTTTGATGACAAGCTCCCCAACCCTGAGGAGCTCCCAGCCCTGCGGTACCTGACCGAGGATGACCTGCTGCTGCTGGCCAGTTTCATAAAGATCCGGCGGCTGTTCCACAAGCTGGAAGGATGTATGAATTTCCCCTCCAGCCAGGTTTGGAAAAAATTAAAGCAACCTTCCTACCTTTCTTCACTTTCTCTAAAACTACTTTCCCTCTGTCACAATTCTGGCATAAAGCAAGATACAATGGTAACAATCACAAATCTAATAAATGAAAAAATTTAAAGGAACGTCATAGTGCTTTTGTTTGTCTTGTTAGTCTTTTGGGAGCCATGGGAAGTTCCAAAAACAGTGAACCAAATCATTAGAAAACATCAAGAAGTTCTTTATTTTATTCTGTTTTTTAAATATTTTATTTATTATTTTATGTGTATGAGTGTATTGCCTGCATGTATGTAAGTATGCCCATGTCATGCAGTGCCCAAGGTCAGAAAGAGGCATTGGATCCCCTGGAACTGGAGTTACAGATGGTTGTTAATCGTCATGTGGATGCTGGGAACTGAACCCAGGTCCTCTGCAAGAGCAGTCAGTGCTTGTAACCACTCACTGAGCTATATTTCCAGCCTCAAGAAATACTTTATTTTAAACAAATACTTTATTTAGAGCACACTATGAGTCATTACTGGTTTACATTCTTGGTTGGAACATTGACTTAATTCCCCAACACCAGGAAACAAACAAGGCATAGAGATGCAATTTCAGGGGACATTCCTAAATACCAGATTTGGCACTACATAACAAGAAGGTAGTTAAGTCTACCATCACTCCTGCCAGGACTGAATCAGATTGTTTTTCTAACAGAACTAAGTAAAAGTGTTATGGTTCGAATGTGAGCTGTCCCCCACAGGTTCATGTGTTTGAACAGGTAGACCCCAGCTGGTGGTATAGTTCTGGAATACTGTGGAATCTTTTGAACATGGGACTTAACTGGCAGGGCTGTAGCGGTGGAACTTACGGGCTACTGCCCTTTTCCCCTAGCTCTCTGCCTCCTGGTTGGTGCCAGGTAATGAGCCCTAGCTACAAGCTGCCACTGCATAAACTCTGCCTTACCTGCTCCACCATGATAGACTGTGTCTTCTCAGACTGTGAGCCAGACTCAATCCCTCCTCCCTGAAGCTGCATATGAAGTAAATGTTAACTAACATAGAAGTCGTGTAGACTGACTGAGCTGCTGGGAGAGTCAGGCCTGGTTCTTGCTATTAATTCATTAACCACCCTCTCCAGCCGCAAATGCCTATAATGGGCTTGCTTTCTAGAAACTTCCTAGTACTGAGGAGTGTTTTGTTCCTTTTTTCCCCATTTCCAGTCTTGCTAATCCTTACTGCTGTCCTTGTAAAAAAAAAAAAAAAAAAAAAAAAAAAACAATGCCAAGTCTTGCATCTTAATGCTAATGTCTCCATTTTTGCCTTAAGTTTCTTTCCATTACTGGGTGAAACTTTAGTTTCTATCTATTGAAATAGAAATAGCAAGCTAATTGAACCAGTATGTACCCATTGAAAACTACCTTTAGAGAGTCAAGGCCATACTGTTAGATAGTGAAGAAGGATTTGATCGATCATGATTAGCCGAATAACGAGACATAATCTTTTGCGAAGTTGCTTCATGTCGAAGACCAGAATGACATTTTGAAATGTCTTTAATAAATTATAAATCCTTGCATGTAAAAAAGGATATTATGTTGATTCTTTAAAAGTTTATTAAAAATGAAAATGTTTCTTAAATGAAAAACATCTACAGATGGTCATCAACTTACAGTGGTTCACCTTGTGGTCCTTCACCTTTATGACAATGCAAAAACAATACACATCCAGTAGGAGGCACACTTAGAAATTTGAGCTTTAATCCTTTTCTAGGCCAGTAATAAGTGGTGTGGTAGTCTCTCAAAATGCTGGGCAGCAGCAACAAACCATAACTCTCAGTTAGACAGCCATGAGCTAGTCGTGCTCCACAGTGAACAGCTGCCAGTGTATTTTGGACATTTTGTTTTGTGTTTTGCATTTACATATCTACAACATGTGATACACAAGCTATTCAACAGTTCATTATAAAACAGGCTTTATGTTAAGTTATTTTCCCACCACCCCCCCACCCCCGCAAGCTAATGTAAGTATCTTAAAACAAGCTAGGCTGAACTGTGATATTTGATAGGTTGGGCATATTCAAAGAATTTTCAATTTAGGGTATTTCATTCTTATTTGAGAGGTCTTACTATGTAGTCCAGGCTGGCCTTGAGCTCAGGAATCTCCTATCTCACCCAACCCCCCAAAGTGTGGTGTGTACCACCAGGCTTGAGAGGTATAAGATATTTCAACTTACAGAGATACAGTCCCATCATGATCTGAGAAGCATCTCTTTCTACATCTATTGGCATCCCATTTCAAGACAGTTATTCAAGTGATTTCATTACTTTTTTATTTTATATGTATGAGTGTTTTGCCTGCATGCATGTAAGTGCTCCACATGTATGCAGTGCCCTCAGAGGCCAGAAGAGGGTCATATCCCCTGGAACTGGAGTTATGGATGGTTGATCGTCTTTAATGTGTGTGCTGGGACCCAAACCTGGGTCCTCTGAAAGAGCAGTAAGTACTCATAACTGCTGAGCCATCTTTCTAGCCCCTCAAGAGACTTAATTAGTAAAAATTAATATGCTAATGCTAGCCCTTGGGAGGCAGAGGCAGGTGGATCGTTATGAGACAGAGGCCAGCCTGGTCTACATAGTGACTTCCCTGGAAGTCCCTGGAACTAGGGAGACCCTGTCAGAAAAATTAACAAATAAATATAAAAATGCTAAGTCTTATTTGAGGTATTTACCAAAAGTGATTAAATAGGCCTTAAATTTTATAGACCAGTATCTGCTTATATTTTTTTCTGTATGTTTGTCTTAGGTAATATCAGTTTTGAATAAAACCTCTTCAAAAAATTTAAACTCTTCTCTGCCTTAAAGCTGTAGTATAATAATATTTCAGTATTAAGGGAAATTACTTTTTTTGAGACAGGGTCTCCCTGTAGCCCCAATTGGCCTGGAGCTCACTATGCACACCAAGGTGACTTAGAATTTACAGACACCTGCCTGCCTCTGCCTCCCAAGTGCTCAGATTAAAGGCATGCACCCCACATCTAGTGGCTGAAGCTACAGGGAGACCCTGTCTCAAGGAGGACAATCAGACACTGCCAATAAGAATTTTGAAAGATAAGAAATAAACTGAATTTCTATTCCCAGGAGAAAACCATAGGAAATTAAACTCTAGTTTAGAGCTATAAAACGGTCTAAGTTAAATACACATTATCTGTTAGTGAACTGCAAATGAGTATCTTTCTATTTTCTTTTTTTTAAATATTTCATTTACTATTTTTATTTTATATGTATGAGTGTATTGCCTGCATATGTGTAAGTGTACCCATGCCGTGCAATGTCCATTGCCGGTGAAGGTCAAAAGAGGGCATCAGATTCCTTGGAACTGGAGTTATAAACAGTTGTTAGCCGCTATGTGGGTGCTGGGAATCGAACCCAGGTTCTCTACAAAAGCAGCCAGTGTCTTAACCAATTACCTATCTCTCCAGTCCCTTGCTATTTTCTTCTACGTGGTGCAGGGGCTGTGTACAAGTTAGACAAGCACTCTACCACTAAGCTATATCCTAGGCCCTTGGTTTTGTGTGTGTGTAGGTTTTTGTTGTATGTTTGTCCGTCCTGTACAGGACTAGTTCTGACTTATTTAGCTTAGGCTTGCCTTGAACTCCCAGTTCATCCTGTGTCAGCTTCCCTAGTGCTGGGAATACAGGTATGCACCACCACACCGAACTTGTTACAAACATCTTGTGAAATTGTTAGGATTTTCATTTTCACTGTTAAATTTACAGTCAACTTACTACAAGTGAATGGATAGACTATAAAGCAAAAGTTTCCAGAGTCTATTTAAATATATGTTTTGTTTTTAATATATGTTTTGTTTTGTTTTGAGACAGAGTCTCCCTGTATCCCCAGCTGGCCTTGAACTCACAGAGATCCGCCTGCCTCTGCCTCCCATGTGCTGTGATTAAAGGCGTGCACCACCAGCCCAGCTAAATATTTTATTATTTTTATTTTATGTGCTATGAGTGTATTACCTGCATGTGTGTAAGTGCACCCATGTCATGCAATGCCCAAGGAGGTCAGAAGAGGGCATCAGATCCCCTGGAACTGGAGTTACATACAGTTGTTAGCTGCCATATGGGTGCTGGGAATCAAACCCAGGTCCTCTGGAAGAACAGCCAGTGCTCTTAACTGATGAGCCATCTCTCCAGCCCCTTAATAGATATTTTAAATAGGATTTGGAATAAAGATTACATATTCTGAAATAAATATTATACTTTCATGTTTTTTTTAAAACAGGAATGCACTGTATTTTTCTCCAATTATAATAGAAAGTACACTGGGAAAACGACAAAAAGAGGAGATTTTACCTCAAGCCAAGTAATTTTAAGTTGATCATTCATTTGGCTACAAGATAGTAAAACATTTTATATATACATGTTTTTTAATTTTATTTTTTTAATGTGTATGCATGCACATCTGTAGGTGGGTATGTGCATGTGAGACTAGAAGCCCTTGGATCCCCTGGAGCGAGAATTACAGGAGGGTGTAAGCTACCCATTCTGGCTGCTGAGAACCAAACTTGGGTCCTCTGTAAGAGCAGTATATACTCCTAATCACTGAGCCATCTCTCTAGCCCCTTATATGTTTTTTTTTTTTTTTTTTAATTTTATTTATTGACTTCCCTGGGATGCACAGCCTCCTGTGTCCTGGTCCCAGCACCTTCCCTGGGTAAGTACAGCGTGCCCAGTGCACCTTGACTCCTTCAGCCTCTTTCACCCTCCCAGCTCACCCGCAGAGTCTCTCCTCCTAGGCTGGGTACAGGCCCATTTCTTGTCTTGGCACTCCAAACACTGGGGCCAGCTTCTCGGCCCAGAGCCACCACTGCTTCCTGATCCTTTGCATTGGGGACCAACCCATTTCCTCCCTGCGGCCCCCAGGAACCCTCTAGGCCTGGTCCATCCCCCACCTCCCTCTACTTCCCAGGGTGGCACAGCCACCGGCTTCCTGAGACCAACATCTATCCTGGGCTCTTCTCCCAGCCCATCCCAGCCCCCAAATTCTTGAGGGCAGCATCTTTCCTGGAGGAATCCAGACCTTAGGAGAAAGCCTGATATCATCTGAGCCTCATCTGACTTAGGCCTCTGTGGGAACT